AAGAAGAAGAAGAAGAAGAAGAAGAAGAAGAAGAAGAAGAAGAAGAAGAAGAAGAAGAAGAAGAAGAGGAAGAAGAAGAAGGAGAAGAAGAAGAAATATATGGGCTGGGGATTTAGCTCAGTGGTTCTGCTGCCTGCCTTGCAATTGCAAGGTCCTGAGTTCAGTCCCTGGTACCGGAAACAAAATACACATGATCAACTAAGCCATAGTGGTTTACTTTTTGTGTGTGTGTGTGTGTGTGTGGTTTACTTTTGAAAGCAAGTCAGAATCTTTTTTTGGGGTCCAGGATTGAACTCTGGACCTTGTGCTTGCGAAGCAGGTGGCAGAACCACTGAGCTAAATCCCTGGCCCACAAGTCACAATCTTTAAGTGAATCTTCTTAGAAAACTGCTTTTAGATCACAGTGTCACAATTAAGCAAGTTGCTGTAGAGCTGGAAGTGTGGTTTGGGGCGGGAACTGCTCAAACCCTCCTGCTCTGAGCTGTTGAGGGGTGGAGGGCCCAGGGGAATTACCGCTCCTAGCTGTGTGGCTTGTGCACACCAATCAGTAAATTTGGAATAGAGTGCTAATTTCTAGGCACTTGTAAAGATGAAGTAATGCTCGCAAAGGGCTTAGTTCGATGCATAATAGTAAGGGGCAAAAGGGAAGGGGAAGTGGGAGGGGTAGGGGAAAGGAAAGAAGGGAATGGAAATAATATGAGAAAATGAAAAAATGGAAACAAAGTCTTTATAAATAAGGAGGGATGGAGGGGTTGAAGGGAGGGCAGAGGAATGGGGGAAAAATAGGAACCAAGAAAGATTATGTAAAGGTACAAATTTCCAATGATGAACGTCATTATATTGTATACCTAAAATGTACCGATAAAATTAATTTTTTAAAAAACAAGGTAAACAATTACTAATTTATACAGTATCCAATCTTATAACTCCAACTTTCCACCAGAGGGCGCCAAACACTAGCCTGGAACTTGCAAAGGTAAGGGTTTTTTGTTGTTGTTGTTTGTTTGTTTGTTTTGGTTTGGTTTTCGTTTTCCCCCTTCTGCCTTCCTGCACCTGGACAGGGATACCAACAGCTGGTTTTTCCCAGACACGCAATTTGTAAATCATGCTCAAGATCCCAACCACTGATGTCCGAACAAAAGGACTTAGTAGACTATTTTTTGGTTGCTTCACTCCTGAGAACTAAACTTGAAATAAAAACATTTAACTGTGAGACCATTTATTTAAATTAAGGCAACTTGGACAGAGGGACAGGCATAGTAACTTTGCAGAGTTGGCTGTCATTTTACACCTGCGACACGGAGAGGAGAAACCTGAGGATCAGCCTCTGGGAGTGGCCACCCTAGTCTTGTTTTTGCATTGTTTGTAGAAGATGCAAACACAATTATACGACTGGCTAAAAGTTCATTTTTTATATCCCAGGGTGTGAGCAATTCTAAATAGTGTTAATGATAAAATACTACTTCGTAAAAAAATCTTTTGTTCTTTGAAGTTATGAATCATTTCTGCAATTTACCACTGATTTTACCGTATGTGTAAGTTCCACTTTGGCATATTTTCTTACTTACCTATTCATGAATCCACGTATGCTGTCTGGAAATGAATGCAGAAAATGTCCTTATGTTTAGGCGGGCTTGCCCCGTGGATTCGGCCCTGTGTATTTTTGCTCCAGCGTAGTTTCAGACACATTTTGAGCTTGGCGTTTACTCCAACTGCCTCCAACTTCTGTGTTTAAACAGTGGGTTTAAAATAAACCACGAGAGCACAGTGATGATAAAGACAAAGAAGCAGACCTTATTTTACTTTTGTCATTCTCGGTGCTTGTGCTTAAAATTTGAAATGGTAAAATAGGACTGAGATATTAATTTTTTTTGGCAAACTGTAAAGTTAGTTCACATGTAATATGTTACTATGAATATTAAATGGAAGCATACTTTCCTTTAAATTGTGTATTTTGAAACTATACATTGAACCAAAAAGATAATGATTGCTGTTGATTTTTCCATGATTCTAATTGTAGAAATACTTTTGTTGTAGATTGGGTGTGTGTTAAAAATTATCCAAGCCACGTGTCAAATAATCTAGGTCCACCCTAGGCTTCAGTCCCAACCTAGTGACTTCCACTTCCCTTCCTGGGAGGCATCTGGCTGCTGGCTGCCATCCGAGAAGGGAAGGAGGGCTTCCCTAGTGGAGAATGTGATCCTGCTCTAGCCAAGTTGAGAGAGAAGTCAGTCTTCAGCTTGCAGAAGAATCTTAGAGGTAGCCCGTATTAGCTCTTTTTGCTGACGTACGCTACCCAACACTCACCACATAAAGGAAGAGAGGTTTAATGGTTTGGGGTGATTCAGTCCATGGTTGGCTGGCTCTGGAAAGGCATGGTGGTGGAAGAGAGCTGCTCACCTCATGGCAGCCAGGAAGCTGAGAGATGGGGGAGCAGGGACACAAATGCACCCTTCCAGGTCACATGACAAATGACCCCCCTCCAACCTGTCCCCACCTCCTAACAGCACATTCAGCTACTGGGTTAGTAAAGGAATCAGTGGATGAACCCACTGATGAGTATGGAGCCCCCGTGATCTAGTTACCTTCCACACACACGTGAGAATCTGGGGGAACATCTGAGATTTAAACCACAACATGGTCCAATAGGATTGCCTGCTGTGGCACCTCTCCTAGTCCAATCCAAAGCCATGCACCTCCCACCTCTGTGCCGTCTGGTCCCTGTATTGAAGGAGATTCTACGTGGGAAGATCTCAGAGCACTTGACAGTGGCCTTGGTCTGCAAGCTGAGCAATGTTGATCTGTGGTCCCGGCTGGAGGGCCCGGGAGGTGACAGCCTTTGAAAGCCTCAGGCTCACCCTTTGAGACTGGAACTTGGTCAGTTATTACTCATGAAGAGAAAGCGACTGTGCCTCTGTCCCTTCTCCTTGCATTGTTGCGATGTCTGAGTCCCCTCTTCCTGGTCTGCCGCCGTGGACTGCTAACACACAGCTCCCTTCCAGCTTCCAATCTAGCAACACCAGCCCCATTCACGGGAGATCCGGTTACACGAAGAACTTGGTTTCTGTCCTTGCAGTGGTTGCTATTTATGGCCAAGGACACTGCAACCCAGAGGAGGCAAGCAAGTTGCACAGTGTCACTCAGCTAATGACAGGAAGGGTGAGTCTGCACGGGGGTCCTGGAACGCCACGCATCCTTCCAGGCACGGACACCAACAAGCTCTGTGTTCCTTCCTGAAAGCTTTCTAAAAAATTGTTTTGGCATTTTAATTGTGATAGGATCCACACGTGATAAAATCCATCGTCTTGACCTTTTTAAGTGCATGGCACTGTGCAAGTGCTTTTATGCTGTATGCAGCTGTCACCACCATCCATTCGTCTTGCAAAACTAGAACCCCACAGCCATCAAGTCCTGGCTTCCTGCCTCCTCCTACCCCAGATCTTACAAGGCAGATATGACCATTGCTGCTATCCCCATTCCATAGATGAGGAAACAGGTATGGAGAGATCCAGTACTCCCTGATCAGGCCCAGCTCCTCGGTTCAAAGCCTGGCAACCAGGCTCCCAAGGCAAGGGCTCCACCTCCTGGTGTCCACAGGGAGCCCGTCAGTGCTCTGTGAACTCCTTCCCACCTTGAGCCTGTCAGAACTGCGAGGCGGAGGCCTGGAGCTGGAAACCAGCCTCAGGTCCACGGAAAGGCAGAGGGACTCCCATTCAGCCCCTCGGCCTAGGCGCTGGCCTCTGGCTTCCAGCTCAGCCTCTGGGACTGGGGCGGGGACTTCCGCCGCCTTTGGGTCCTGTGCTCCGCTCTCATCCAGATCCGGAGCAGCTGTGGTTCCTGTCCCCAGCCCTAGGGGCAGCCCCTGGGCTCCAGCTCGCCTGTGCCAGGGAATGGAGCCCTGGGCTTTGGCCAGGGAGCAGCAGGCTGGCTGACCTGGGCCCATGCGGCAGGGAGATGCTGTCTTCGTGGGGAAGCTCCTCTTGGCCCTTGTAGTCCATTGCTGCCGAGGCAGAAGCCCACCTTCCTCCCACCTCTGTGAGCCTCTGTCTGACGATGCTGAGCAGAAGGAAGACTGTGGGACACTCACCTGACCCTGTGCACATGAAGGGGCCTCAGACTATAATCCAGCACTCTGGGAGGCTGAGGCAGAAGCGTCACAAAGTCCAGCCCACCCTGGGCAACGTAGCGAGACCCTGTCTCAAAAAATAAAAAAAGTCTGAGGATGAAGCTCAGTGCTAAGGCCCTGGGTTCAATCCCCAGTACCACACCCACACACCCACAAAGTCAGATGCTTCAGGATCAGAAACAAGGCAAAGATGGTCTGGCCACTCCCATTCAACACTGCATTGTAAGACCCAGCAGGGCAATCAGGTTAGGAAAGGGAGTACAACACAGCCACGTTAAAGAAAGGAGTAAGAGTGTGTCTGTTCCCAGGTGGTGTGGTCTTATATGCAGAAAAGTCTAAAGATTCAACAACAGAAACCCATTCGAGTTAATAAACAAATTCAGCAAAGTTGCAGAACACAAAATCTGCACCCCGCAATCAGTTGAGTTTCCATACACTAATAATGAGCAATCCAGAAAGAAAACAAACGATTCTGTTTACAATAGCATTACAACAATAAAATCAGAATATACTTAACTGAGGAGCCACAAAGCATGTACACTGAAAACTATAAAACATTATGGAAAAAAGTTTGAAAAGATGCAAATAAACAGAAAAAGACCTATTTTTATGGATTCAAAGACTTAGTATTTTTAAACTGTCTCATCCCTCCTGCCCACCATGTCAAATGTAAAAGTTCTGTGCATCAAAGTACATAATAGTAAATAGGCAACTCACAGAATGGGAGACGTCATCACATTGACTACCTGAGAAGGGGTTAATATCCAGCATTTATAAAGCACCATAACCCAAGAGCAGAGTGAATATGTAATCTCTTTAAACAAAATTCATAATTCATTAGGAGTATAATGTGAACTCGAAATTGAATTTTTATATAATCTTCTTGTACTTGTTGCCTAATAATATTTCTCCCCATTAACTTTATTGGTACATTTTAGGTATAAAATACAGTTACATTCATCATTGGGATCTTGTGCCATTACATGAGTCTCTTGGTTCTTATTTTTTTTCCCCTTCCCTTGCCCTCCCTTCACCCCCTCCAACTTTCCCTA